GCCCGGCGGCCCTCGGCGATCCGCGCGGCCTATGTCGGGCATGCCCCTCTTGAGGAGGAGCGTTCGACAATGGCAACAAACACCCGCTGGGGACGATGGGGTCGAGCACGCTTTGCCTATTCGCGAGCAGCTGTGGGGTCGCTTCTCGCCCAAACTCCGCCTGTAGTGGGACGTGCCCGAGCCGACGCGCGGCGCGCGTCCCGCCCGCCCTCGCGAGATGACGCGGCCGCCCGGCCGGCGAAGGCCTCTGCTGGCCGTCGCCGTCGCCGTCGCCGTCGTCGTCGCCGTTGCCGCCGTCGCCGTCGCCGTCGCCGTCGCCGTCGCCGTCGCCGTCGCCGTCGCCGTCGCCGTCGCCGTCGCCGTCGTCGTCGCCGTCGCCGTCGTCGTCGCCGACGGCGTCGTCGTCGCCGCCGCCATCGTCGTCGCCGTTTAAGCGGTCTCTTCTGCACGAATCCTCTTCGCTCCCCTTGTTCCCCAATCAGAGCTTGCCTCTGTAGGGGTCCTAGCGCATTCATATGGTTAGGTGAGGTGCGGCGCCGATATGGTGGCCGGCGGCCGGGTGCCCGGGTGCACGGGTGCGCCCGCGGGTGCCCGGTGCCCCAGGCCGGGTGCCCGGGTGCCCGGGTGCCCGTGGGTGCCCGGGTGCCCGGATGCTCGGGGGTGCCCGGAGGTGCCCGGGGGTGCCCCGGCACCCTATAGCCATATAGCCCTATAGCCTTGTAGCTCTAGAGCTCAATAGCCATATAGCCTAATAGCCCATATAGCCCTATAGCCCTATAGCCCTATAGCTCTATGGCCCTATAGCCCTAGAGCCCTAGAGCCCTAGAGCTCTAGAGCCCTACAGCCCTATAGCTCTATGGTCCTATAGCCCTAGAGTCCTAGAGCCCTATAGCTCTAGAGCCCTATAGCTCTATAGCTCTATAGCCCTATAGCCCTATAACCCTACAGCCGTATAGCCCTATAGCCCCAATAGCCCAATAGCCCTATAACACTATACCCCTATAGCCATATAGCCCATATAGCCCTACAGCCCTATAGCCCTATAGCCCTATAGTCCTATAGTCCCATAGCCCCAATACAAATCTGATTGGGGTTCTTCTCCGGTATCATTTTTACCTAACAGCTCTTGCTGATAGGGGTCTGGGCGGGACCCGGACAGGCTGCCGCCGAAGCTGCCGCCGAAGCCGAAATCGCTTGGGACATCCTCGCAAAATCGCTCTTGGTACTCCCAGAACTCCATTCCCGGGCCACATTTTGGATGCCCGGAGCCAACTGTAGGCCACTTCGTGCTCTTCGACTTCCCAGAACTCCATTCCCGGGCCACATTTTGGATGCCCGGAGCCAACTGTAGGCCACTTCGTGCTCTTCGACTTCCCAGAACTCCATTCCCGGGCCACATTTTGGATGCCCGGAGCCAACTGTAGGCCACTTCGTGGTCTTCGAGTTCCCAGAACTCCATTCCTGGGCATGATTTTGAATGCCCGGAGCCAACTGTAGGCCACTTCGTGTTCTTCTAGTTCCAGAACTCCATTCCTGGGCCACATTTTGAATGCTGAGGCAGGCTGATGCTGCGGCTGAGGCAGGCTGAGGCTGAGGCAGGCTGAGGCTGAGGCCGAGGCTGAAGGCAGACTGAGGCTGAGGCTGAAGCAGACTGAGGCTGAGGCTGAGGCAGGCTGAGGCTGAGGCTGAGGCAGGCTGATGCTGAGGCAGGCTGAGGCTGAGGCTGAGGCTGATGCAGGCTGAGGCTGAGGCAGGCTGAGGCTGAGGCCGAGGCTGAAGGCAGACTGAGGCTGAGGCTGAAGCAGGCTGAGGCTGAGGCTGAGGCAGGCTGAGGCTGAGGCTGAGGCTGAGGCTGAGGCAGGCTGAGGCTGAGGCTGTGACTGCGACTGCCGTTGCCGCTGCGACTGTCATCGCGAATGCGACTACGACTGCGAGAACAGCAGAATTCGACAACTGGATTTTCATCTGAATCTTAAGGGGAATGCTTTCAGATATGCTTCTACACATCGCTGTTAGGTTGCTTTGCCGGGATAATCTCTTTCCAAAGCAATGCCAATAATTATTGCTTACATTATGTTCCGCCTCAGGAGGCACTCTACAGCAAGTTCCGGGCTCCCCCGGCCAGTCTCCTGGGCCATCGATCGCGGAGGCATGGAAGGCACCAGTTGAAGTTCCTACCGACCTCGATTGTGTGTTGCCCTTGCCGCAGAGATCCATTTCATCTTTGGCGCCACCGTCGTTCCGGTGGAAAAGAAGATCGATGTGGTCAACTCCAGCGTCGATGACGCCGTTACCGAGGTCACAATTATGAAGCCAGTCTCTGGAGTCCCGCATGGCAGTCCTGGAGTCTGGCGCGACCCCCACAGGCAGTGGACCCGCATCAGTGGGCAGTGGTGGCACGGACATTTCCACGGTGGCTCCCTCTCCCGTCCTGCCCCCCACCGGTCAGCGTGAAGTTATTTGTGTGTGTGAATTTTCTCGGAGGGTGCGGAGTTTGCAGCTGAGATGTGGACCATCCTGACCGACGCCCACACCCAGGAAGTTGATAAGGTATACCGTGCGGGCCCGTACACCGATGGTCGATACGTAATGGTTGTGTTCACGAGCAAGGGTGACATGTGGAATTGTTGACGTTTCGCGAATCCCCACCAGCCCATCCAGAAGCGATGCCCAGAGGAATTGCCTCGATCAGGGAAGCGGGCAGCACACAGAGGAAGGGTCCCCCAGTGGAGGCTTCTTGGAGCGTCTTGGGGGCCTCTTGGCCGTCCCGGACGCCTCTTAGAGCGTCTTGTGTGCCTCGGAGAGCTTCGTGGGGCCTCTTGGGGGTCTCTTGGGAGCCTCTTGGAGGCCTCTTGGGCGCCTGTTGGGGCCTCCTGGGGCCTCCTGCACGCCTCTTGGGGCCCTCTTGAAGCGCTCTTTGGAGCATTGGGAGCGCTCTTGGGCCATCTTGGAGCCATCTTAAGGCCTCGGCGGGAAAGCAAAAAACATGGATTTCCCCAAGGTGTTGGAAGGGTTTTGGCCTCTTCGGGGCCTCCTTTGGGAGCTCTTTGGCCACTTGGAGCCGTCTTGGAGTGGTCTTGGGGCCTCTTGGAGCATCGCGGGCGCCATCTTGAGGCATCGTGGGATATCTTGAGCCATCTTGGAGATCATCTTTGGCTCTCCCAGGCGCTCTTGGAGTCATCTGAGGCAGTGCCCCCCCCCCCAGGAGGCCAAACTGTGGCCAAAACCTTACTAAATCAACGATTTTGGCATTGTCGCCGAGGCCTCTTGGAGCGCCTTGGGTGCCTCAGGGGGGCCTCTCGGAGGTCTCTTGGGGGTCTCTTGGGAGCCTCTTGGGGGCATCCTGGGGGCCTCTTGGGGGCCTCTTGGGCCTCCTGGCCACCTCTTGGGTCCCTCTTGGGGCACCCTTGGGAGCCTTGGGAGCGCTCTTGGGGCCGTCTCGGAGGAGATCGATCACAGGAGGGGGGGGGGTCGGTCGGATTAGAGCACCCCCCAGAAGGCCAAAATGGGGCCCAAACCCTGGTAAAATCAATGAGTTTGGTTTCCTCGCCGAGGCCGTTTTGGACGCTCTGACGACTCGCGACCCCCCCCCGCCCAGGTCCAGGGGAGGGGGTAGGGGGAGGGGTCAAAACCCCCCTCCCCGCCCGCAAGCCGCCTCGCTCACTCCCACCCGCCCTCCCAACACATACGCAGCACCCGAGTCTGGCCCGAGCCTCAGCATATTCAGCAGTCGTCTTTGGATGGGCAGCTACTGGGGACCAATCCGCCGCCGCCGCCGCCTCCGCCGCCACCGCCACCGCCGCCGCCGCCGCCGCCGCCGCCGCCGTTGCCACCGCCGCCGCTGCCCGCCGCCGCGCCGCCGCCGCCGCACCGCCGCCGCAGTTGCCACCGCCGCCGCCTGCCGCGCCGCCGCCGCCGCGCCGCCGCCGCCGCCGCCGCCCCCGCCGCCCCCGCCGCCGCCGCTGCCGCCGCAGCCGCCGCAGCCGCCGCCACCGCCGCCGCAGCCGCCGCAGCCGCCGCCGCCGCCGCCAAGTGTACTCTGTATTGTTTTTGACAGGGATGGTGGGGGGGGACCGCATCGGGTTGGCTGCGCATGTTCCGAAGTTGGAGGCAAAGTGTGTTTTGTATTGCTTTTTACAAGGGATGGTGGGGGGGTGTCGTCATGGACCTTGGTTGGCCCCCAGTCGCCTGGGGGAGGGGGTGCTTAGTAACAGGGAACAGTGATAAACCCCTCCCCGAAGGGGAAGAAGGAGGGGTGGAAGAGGAAACGCTCTAAACCACCGACGCCCAGAGGGCTGGTGGGATTGTTCCTTTTTGTCATGAAAGGGAAAACATATACCGGCAGCCTCGCGAATCGGTCCACGTAGCCAGATTCGGCTGACAACGCCAAACGCAAAAAATCTGGCACATAGTTGGCAAGTGCGCGTACGAGATCGCCTGCTGCAGTCGTGTTGCACAAGCGCGGGGTATGATGTTGGCCGCATTCTGTCAGAAGTGGCCAAAGCTAGCGCCCGAGTCACCCGCCGTCATTCTCGACGCGCAGCACAAGATGGGTTCGGTCGTGTGCCTCCGCCGCTACCTCCCACTGGCCGTAAACCCTCGTGACCCTCTTCGCCTCATGGCCCGCGCGCCCCCGACTTACAACTTGCACGTTGCGAGACGAGGCCAAGCGTGGCTCAACCAGACGGGCATCCCTCTGCAGCTAGAGGCTCACCCAGTTGCCTTCAGTCATCTTCGCAGGAGAAGATTGCGACCAGGTGCTGTTCCGCGAGCCCACTCCAGCGACGATCTGATTGTCCCCAGTTGGAACTGTCATCGAGTTCCGAGGCGTGGGACCGCATGGGTGCTGAAAGCTCTTGAGCAGCGTTTGATACGGGATAACGTTTGCCTCCAACAGTTCATGTATAGCAACTTGACACAGCCCGATTTGGCTGACCACGCTGTTTTCCTAGGGCCCCCCCGTCGGGAGGCCGAAACGGAAGCCATGTATCATTGAGCATTGGACGCTCGCGGATTGCACCATCGGAGCACCTGTTTGTTTTTTTGGTTGGTTTAGCCATCTGCGTCCACGCAGCATGTTGTGGGCGGCTTTGGATTGCGTGCGCTCGTTCAACCCCGCCTCGGGCAATACTGCGCTATATGCTTCAGACCTCCCAGACTGCGAGCAGCTGCTTCCGCTCGGGCCCCCTGGTAGCCGACTTGTCCTGGGTATCGATGCGAACGCCTCGTGCACCCTGGCCGTTCCCAAAGTGTGAGACTGTTCTGTGGAGAATCACGGAGGCTTCACGCGGCGCGTAATAGTTGTATGATGTAGTCCACACGTCAGTTCCGTAAGTTATGGGACGACGCTCGCGCGGCGCTGCTCTGGCGTCAGTCCGACGTGGATCCGACGTAAATCGGGGCTCAAGTTGCCGCGCGAGGCCTCCAGGATTTTCTTTCTAAAGACTGGGCCTTGCGCTGCCGGGACGGATCGCTGGAAGCCAGCGATTCTCCTTGAATGTTTGGCCTCTCACGGCCTCGTTGCTGCTGGCGCGCGAAGGATCGCCCGTCGCAGGCGGTGCCCGCTTGCTTCTGCGGTGGTCGCCTCGAACCTCGCCAGATCGATTTAGCTGTCGTTGGTCACCCCAACATACTAATACTATGTGTTCGTCGCGCCCCCCCGGGGCGACGCGCGCACCGAGAAATCGTATGTTACATGCGTCGTGGCTGGCGCTTTCTGGCCACTACGCTCGTGAAGCGATGTACGACGAAATGGTACACTATATATTCGGGTTAGACGCTCGCCTCCAAGGAGGACATCTAGTAAAAGTATGTTTCTGTGCGTCCCATTAGATATCTATCTATGGGAGCCTTGGGCGGCGGCGCTGAAATCAGTTTGCCTGCACTAGGGCCGCGTTTAGATGTCATGTGCTCCGCATTTGGGTTTTCTCCTGCTCCTCCTCGCCCCTCCTGTTTCTTCTTCACCTCCTCGTTCTTCTCTTCTCCCCGGTGAAAGGGGCGAATCCAGTCCGAACCCCGCCCCAAGTGGGATCAAAATCCCACTCGGGTCCAGATCAGGCCCAAGTCGGACAGCGCCGGCGGCCGCGCGGGCCCCCGCGGAACAGACGCCAAAGCCTGCCTCATCGCATGATGCTCGAGTCCGCCTCTCGGAAGCTGCCTGGTCTAATCATGATCTCGTGGTGCCATATCTCTAAGAAGGAAAAGCGCCATAAACATAAATTTTTGGTGTTCCGTGCGGATTTCTTGGATCTGCGTTGGGCCCCTCTGGCGGAGCCTCCGGCGCCGCCCCTGGCGCGCCAGGAAGGGGGGGTCCAGCTCAGATCCAAGAAATCCGCGCGGAGCGCGAAAAGTTGATGTTTCCTTGCATCAAGACGGGCCCGCCCCAGCTTTCGAGCCCGCCTGCAAGCGCCGGTTCTCTTTTAGAAACCTGCGGCCAGGAGGCTGCAGGAGCGCAGCTTCTCTGCGCCCAGATCGAGCAGCATTTCGACGTTCCGGACCGCCGCAGGCCAGAAGCCGTCCTGGGCTTGAAGAATAATCAAGAAAAGGTTTCGGGACGATTCTTGTATGATTTCCGATTGTCTTGTATGTATTGTTTGGTTTTTGTTTTTCCTACAAGATCTGCTTGTAGGGGGACATGCCCGACCTAAGGACAACTAGTTTTTGCCCTTTCCAGCGATGGTCTGCTCCAGAGGAGCACCCAGTCTAAAGCGACGCGCGGTTTGGGACCTCGCTGTCTTCGCTGTCCGCCCACGGGCCCGCCCCACGCTTCAGGACCTCGGGGGCCCAAAGTGACTGCACTTCCCCTGGGGCGCGGGCCAGCGCGCGCCGACCCCTCCTCCCAGGGACTCCTAGACGCTGCAGGGCTCGCGCGCAAAATGCTGCCGTGCTCTCGCGGGCGGTGGAGGTGGGTTTTGTTGCTCCTCGGTCCCCGTGGGCCCCCAGGCAAAACCGGCGCCGCTGGGCTCCGCGTCCGAGGTCACTCTGGACTCCGCGTGCGTCTTGGGCACCTCGGAGAACGAGTTCGCGCCAGCGCCGCTCTCACCTCGCCCCTCCAGACCGTTCGGGGCCAGGTCTGCAGGAAGTTCAGGGCCGCGTGCCCCTTGACGAAGGGGCGCCTGAACGCGTTGGGAGATGCCTCGGTGGACCGCACACGACGAGGGGAACTCGAAGCGCTCGTGCGCAGCCCGACGGGCGCGCGCTCGACGATGCACGACAGCCCAATTGCACGGAGCCAGCTTCACCGACCGCCTCCAGAGCGCGGATGCACCAAGAGATGCGCACCAGCCTACATCTCAAGAGGGTCTTTCTGAAGCCGCCCGAGTTCTTCGCCCATTCCTGCTGTTTCAGCGCGATTGGGCTGAGCTTCTGCCCAAGCCCAGGAAGCTGCAGCGGGTGCTAGCGCGAGTCGTCATGGATAAGACCTTGCGCGGAGGCCGCGCGGTTCGAGGGGGGGCGCCAAGATCCCCCGGCCCCGTTTTTGGTTAAGTTTGCCGCCGCGATCGCGGACGTGGCCTTCACGCGCAAAGCACCCAGGGGGGCCTGCCGCATACGCCCAGTGGGCATCCTCTCTAACAGCAAGTGCCAGCTCTACGTCAAGCTGGCGTGCGGAGCTAGACTCTGGACCTCAATCATGATGTGAATCTCCACAAATCGGTTAGCGTTGTATGGGGGGCCGGATGGAAGGGGTTGAACCGAGTGTCTTCCATGAAGTTGCAGGACAGTTCGGCGGAAGTTTATGTTTGAAGGGTGCACGGAATGGTTCACATCTGTATGGGAACCGGCTAAATTATTTTTACATTGAAATTCAGCACTCGCTTGTTGCATGCAATGTTTGTACAATCGCCTTTGAACTCTACATATTCATGTGTAACAAATTTTATACCGCAAATGTGTTCAATTGTTTTAATTCGTTGCTATCCGCAAAGTCATATACATGCAAAGGACAACGAGCAACCAGATCATGCGAGTCAAAGTGAATAATGCAAATTTTCTATATATATATATATATTCTTAGCATCAGTAACGTGTACGAAGTCTGTTCGTTCAGAGTTTTTTTGGAAACAAGTTTGACATGCAGTACTGCTCACAAAACCATATGAGCTAGGTGGAAAGCGCAATTCATATTATCCAACAGTCAAAATACGTAGCTAGTTATGTTACGACCACATTATTTTCAATCATCGTTGAACCGTGCAATTTCATACGAAACAATGAATGTTAGTTAGTTGTTGTGTACATGATATAGTTGGAAACTAATGTTTCGTTTCGTCAATGTCCACAATGCAATTGACACCCAGGTGTTACATTAACTGACATAATTTGTTGTGATCAATTCTTTGGCACACCAGCAAATGATGGTCTTTCCTTCCGAACACCACGACGCCATACATATTCGTATTCAAGCATACGCTGTGGCGAACTGCTCTGTTGACAGTACCGGTTCTTTCAAACATTTTTATAGACCATTGATCTTCACAACAACCATATAATTGCACACGAAGCCAACATCATTATTATGTGTTCCAAGTGTACTAATGACATCTGTGCCAAAAAAACATGTTCCGATCATAGTCGTATCAGACATTTTCACATGACAGCAAACAGTTGTCAGTTTTGATACACCAGGTATCATTTGAAATCTGCATTGTTCATGGTAAGTGACAGAAAATTTATTCACATGCAGGAGCCGCAACGTTACTATTTTAGTTGGAAGCATAGATGTCGGTTATGCTGAAAGATGGCATTTGTAGCATTGCAGTGTCGAAATGCATATGTGACTCATTCTTTCATTGTTCGTGCAAGTGATTTTGGTTTGCAGAAGCTGACAACACATCACATCTGAATTTGAGCTCGTGCGACAAGCAACATCGGCATCATGTTATTTAAACGCACTGTTTTCTATTGCAGTGTACTCACCATTGAGCAAGGGATACATGGGAATAGCTCAAAGTAGCATTTCCTAGAAAGGATGCTGATGGTTGTCCGTTGTTGAAGCATTGGTATGTGGAGCTGTCTTCGTGAATGATGATGTTCTTTGTGTTGTTTCTGTGCCGTCGCCTTCGCAGTCGCGCACTCCAGTGTTGTGCGCCGGCCTGTGTCTGCTATATCTTCTCGTCTGTAGCTCAGCCCGGCCTGGGCACTGGCCCGAGGCTTGTGATTGCGAATTCGGCTCCTGAACAACTCGCATGGGACTCCCTCCTTCCTCTCCCCCCCCACCTCCTCACCGCCCCACCCCACTGAGACCCGATGTGTTGCGTTTTCTGTTCGCGCGGGCTCCCCAGAAGGTCTCGGGCCCACTGCGCGGGACCTGCTCTTCATCCCGAGTGGTTTTTGACGGTCCCGGGGCTCGGCGAGGGCGCCGAGTGGACGAGGCTGGGGCGAGGAGAGATCCGTCCCACGGCGTCCCCGAGCGCTCTCAGAGAGCGTTCCGGCACCCTCTGGGAAGGCCGCCGTGCCCGAGACATTTTCCCAAACCGCTGGCTTGCAGAGATCCCCGAGGTATCCCCACCTGATTGTATCCTCGTCCCGGTTTCGTCTCAACCGAAAGGCCGAGCACCACGGAACACTTCCCGGCCTGTTGTCTGCCAGGCGTTCTCTACCGCGCTCTCCCTCTCAGCGCTTTGCGGCACGCTCGCGCGTGCAAGCTCGGAGGCACCGAGCAGTGCATCGTGTGTGCTTGGACCTCAATCGCGGCACGCATCCTCGTGGAGCGGGGGAGAAGGAACAACAATAACAGGAACAGCTCCCGTCCTTTCCTCCCCGCCGAGGCGGGCGCCGCGCGGCCCGCTGAGCGCCGCGGGTGCCGCCGGGTGCCTCTGCCTTGCCGCCCGGGGGCTGCTCTCGGGCTTCGTGCCGCCGCCGCGGGCGCCGCCGCCCGCCCGAGCCGGGGCGCAGGGAGGCAAGTCTGGTTACACCCTCTGGCGATAGCGTGCGTGACCGAGGGGGGGGGGGGGGGGGTGGGGAGGCGGAGGAGGGGAAGGGGGAGGGGGAGGCGGAGGAGGAGGGTGAAGAGGAGAAGAGGAGGAGGAAGAGGAGAGAGGAGGAGGAGGCGGAGGAGGAGGCGGAGGAGGAGGAGGGGGGAGGAGGAGAAGGAGGGGGACGAGGAGGAGGAGGAGGAGGAGGAGGAGGAGGAGGAAAAGGAGGAGGAAAAGGAGGAGGCGAGGAGAGGGGGGAGGACGAGGAGGAGGAGGAGGAGGAGGAGGAGGAGGAGGAGGAGGAGGAGCAGGAGGAAGGGGGTGGGGACGAGAAAGACGGGGAGGACTTCGAGTAGGAGGAAGAAGAGGAGGAGGAGGAGGAGGAGGAGAAGGAGGTGGAGGAGGAGGCGGAGGAGGATCATGATATTCCGCGAAGTTCTTGCAAACGTTTGACGTGAATGTGCGCGTGGCTCCCTGGCGAGAGCCACATTTTTTTGTACAGAGCCGCCCTCCGACGAGACCGCCCTCCATGTGTGAAGATGTTGCAAATGTTTGAGGCGAAAGTGCTCGCCGCTAAGGCGAGAGCCACATCTTGAAAAGGACCCGCCCTCAATCCGCGAAAGTTTTATTTCACAACACACAAAACAAGTGCGTGCCGCAAAGGCGAGACCGACATCTTGGAAGCGGCCCGTCCTCCATCTGTGAAACGGTTGCCACTTTCTCAGTTTCAGAAGTGGAGGAGGGGCAGGAGGAGGAGGAGAAAGAGGAGAAGTAGGAGGAAGAGGAGGGGGAAAATGTGGAAGAGGAGGAGGAGGACGACGATTAGGAGGAGGAGGAGGAGGAGGAGGAGGAGGCGGAGGAGGAGGAGGGTGGGGGAGGGGGAGGAGGCAAGCTAGATGCGCTCGCGTCATATCTGACATCCTACCCCTCCCTCCCATCCCTTACCATGGCGCGGATCCCCTCTCTACTCGCACAGTCGGATGTCGAGCAGGGCAATGATCCCGAAAGGGTACGCGATGCATTGTAGAGCACGGCATGGCATGGCGTAGAAGAGCACCGCGAAGCGTAGTATCAACCTGGCATTGTATTGCATGCCGTGGCATGGCACAGGAAATGACGCCAGCGCTGCAGCGGGAGCACGAGTCGAAACGAGCGGAAGCGCGGAAATGAGGCCAGCGCTGCAGCGGGAGCACGATTCGGAACGAGCGGACGCACGCCGGAATCGGCCCGGGAGGCTTCCCGGGCGCCAGAAGCAGAAATTCAGCATTTCCAAAAGAAAAATGTGAATTGGAATGGCCTTTTTTCGGCGCCGCCTCGGAACTCGATTTTCCGGCGGCGGGGGGAACCGGCTCCGGACCAGGCCCGGGCGCCGGCCCGGGCGCCGGCTCGGGCGTCGGGCCCGGGCGCCGGCTCGGGCGCCGGCCCGGGCGTCGGAATCGGCCCGGGAGGCCTCCCGGGCGCCGGAAGCAGAAATTCAACATTTTCAAAAGAAAAATGTGTATTATAATGGTTTTTTTTTTTTCGGCGCCGCCTCGGAACTCGATTTTCCGGCGGCGGCCGGAACGGGTTCCGGACCCGGCCCGAGCGCCGGCCCGGGCGCCGGCTCGGGCGTGCAGCCCGGGCGCCAGTGGAAATGAGGCCAGCGCTGCAGCGGGAGCACGACTCGGAACGAGCGGGGCCCGAAAGTGAGGCCGGCGCCTCAGCGAGAGGAGCATTTTGGAACAAAAATGCAGGCGAAAACCCAACCCCGGGGAAACCTGAGTGTAAAAAAACAGTACGCGGGGGGGGGGGTCGAATACTTTCAAGACGTCATCAGGGGAAGAGGGAGAGTAGTATTCATATTGAGAAATTGTAGAGGAGGAGAAGCGGGGGGTGGTGGGGAGGGGAAGCCCCGTCGCGCCACGACTCGCCGTGGCGCCGCCTGGGCGTGCCCAGGCAAAGGCCAAGGTCCGCGGCGCCGGCGCGAGCTCTGACGTGGCCGCGGGGGTGCGGGGGCGCGGGGGGGAGGAGGCGACCAAGGAGCCCACGGACGGAGAGGAGCAGGAGGGTGAGCAGGAGGAGGAGGAAAGGAGGAGGAGGTCAAGGAGGAGGAGAAGGAGGAGGAGGAGGAGGAGGAGGGGGAGGGGGAGGGGGGGGGGGGGGGGGAGGGGGAGGGGGAGGGAGGGGGAGGTGGAGGAGGAGGAGGAGGAGAAGAAGGAGGAGGAGAGGAGGAGGAGGAGGAGGAGGAGGGAGGGGGAGGGGGGGAGGGGGGAGGGGGGGGGGGGGGAGGGGAGGGGAGGGAGGGGGAGGGGGAGGAGGAGGAGGAGGAGGCGGGGGGGCGGGGAGGTGGCTTCGTGTTGGGGCGGTCACGTTCGTTATCGCGAGTAATGAAAAACGGGCTCGAGTGCGGCTTGATGCTGGCGCCAGTCCCTGAGACCTTGGCGTCGCATTGGTACGATCGAAACGGGTAGCACAGAAAGAGAGGGAACAGACCGGCAGCAGTTCTCGTCCCAGAGTCCGTTGTTGGTGTGGCCACGGACTCTGTCAGTAAAAAGGTCGCCTGCCCAACAGCTGCCGCTTTCGGTTTGGCCTGACATTTGTTGTCGGATGTCGTACTTTTTCTTTCTGTACCCATGTGCTTGAGCGTGCCAATCGCCCAATCGCTATTCTGCCGCGCCAGGCGACCATATTTGTCGGGCCCCAGGGGCCCTCACGAATCGATCCGGCTCGAGGAGCGCCGCAGAGGGATGGAGTGCACTGTGCCAGTGGTCTTTTTATTAACCAGCCTGTGTGAGTGAAGTTTTCGCCTGAGTGTGTCTCGGGGTCAGAGATGAGGGCCGTCTATAGGAAGTGCCACAGCGGGGGGAGGGATGGCGACTACGACGCGGAAATCCGCGGTCGTCTTGGTGTGCGGGTCAACTTGTTGTTTTTCTGTATGATTGGGTTCAGTGGTAGCTTCCTTCGGGATCCCAGCTCTCGGTATACACATGAATAAGAAGATCAGTTTGTTTTACGTTGTTCGATTCTTTATCGGTATTTTGGGCGGGTGAACGATGGGTTACGTAGGCGCGGCGACATGTACTCGAGGGCGTCAGTACTCGGCTTTGATTTCGCTGATGGGTCTTACGATACTTGTCGGTCTTCGGTGTCAGTCTCAGTGCTCGGCTTCGGCCTTGCAGCGCCGTCGGGCTGCGGCCTTGCTCCTTCATGTACAGCGTCATGCGTCGGCCTCGGTTTCGCGATGGAGGGTAGCCTTGATTTCCTGAAATCACCATGCACCTTCACTTGCCGACATCGTTGTCTCCCGCGGCCCCACGACGTGTGACTCGTTTTCCGGGGGCGAGGGGGGTGCCGTGCGTCCGGGAGGCCGGCGCCCGGCGCCAACGACCTTTTTCGCCGCAGTGCACACGAGCACGCGCGTGCTTGAGCAAGTTGCACTGTTTCCCCGCAGCGTGGCAGGGACATTCAAACTTGAAGAATCAATTTCCGCGTCGTGCGCTGTTTGTGCGGGGGCCCGCGCGTCACAAACAAATGGGCGCGGATGAGAAAAACCTGATACTTGCGCCGCATGCTCGTCGACGACCGCCATGCACGTTGCATCGTGCTGCCAGCAGCAAGTTCCGCATCAGCGCCATTCGAACACATGGGTGGCGATTGTTCGACTTACCATGATGATTACGGCGGCCGTTACAGTGATGATGACGATGATGATGATGTTGATGATGATGGTGATGATGATGGTGATGATGATGTTGGTGGTGGTGATGATGATTATGCGGATGATGATGATGATAATAATAATTATGTTGATGATTATGATGCGGATGATGATGAGCAGAGGAGGGATGAGGCAAACGCTAACATGTGACGCCTTCGGTTCCTCTGCCTGAGGAGCTTACACTGAGCCCACTTGGGCCGTGACGGGGCTGCCCTGGGCTCCTGCGGGGCAGTCTGGCGGTTCCCCTTGGGGGGTTCCCTTGGGCCGTCTGGAGGCTCTCTTGGATCGTCTTGTTGGCCTTTCCGGCCGTCTTTAGGGTTATCGGTGCCCTCGTGGGGCCGTGTTGGGCTCGTATGGGGCCGTCGAGGGTCTGGTCAGCGTCCGACGTGCGTAGCACGCGCGCCGCGCGTCTCGAGGTCTGGCTTGCCCACGAGAGCAAAGTTGTCATGCGGGCTTGGGAACTAAGTGCCCCCCTAGCTGTGACAGATCGGACTTCCGAGTCAAGCTGGGTCTGATCACATGTCAGTCAGTTAGCTTGGTGTCCGACGCCCGTGCGCGCGTGCGCGCGGCCACGCGTGGTGAGTTCTGCAGTGCCCACAGAAGCAAAGTCGCACGTTTGCCCTGGGATCTAGTATGAGCCCCTAGCGGTTGCCGGTTTGATGTCCATTTGTATACGAGTCTGATCACATGTCGGTCCGTCGGCTCAGCCTCCATCGCGCGTGCGCGCGGCCGCGCATGGTTAGGTCTGCAGCGCCCACAATTGCGAAGTCGCCGAGTTATCCTGGAATTTGATGAGATGTCTGAGTAGACGCTTGTTTGATCACGCGCCAGTCAATTGGCTCAGCGCCCGACGCGCGCACGCGCGCGCGTCCACACGCGGTGAGTTCTGGATTGCCCACAACAGCAATATCGCCATGTTGGCTTGGAGTCGAAGTGAGACTTCAGCGGTGGCCGATCGGATTTCAGAGTAAACTTGGGTCTGTTCACATGTCGGTCAGTTGGCTCATCGTCCACTGCGCGAGCGCGCGAGCGCGGCCGCGCGCGGTGAGTTCTGTGGTTCGCAGACGCAGAATGGCAAATTCGCAGTGCTTGCATAGAGAGTTCAGCGGCCCCCTAGCGGTGTTACGATTGAGTATCCGAGCTCGCATAGGTCTCGTCACGCGCAAGTTGATGTGTTTCGCGCCAGATGGTGGTCCGCGCGAGCGCCGCCCCTTGTGGTGAGTTTCACATGGAAGCTCAAGTGAGTCCCTCGA